TAGTGAGCGAAAAAACGACAAAAAGAGCCAAATATATCTAGAAAACGAAGAGACTTTCGCAATTACTTGACCTGTTAATAATGTGTTCCACCCTCATTCATTTACAGTGAGCATTCTTCTAATAGCAGCCGGGCATCCGAATTTCTGACTCATAAGCTTTTTTCATGAATAATTATCACTGTTTGGCCATCTCTGATGCTTTCAAAGAAATATTTGACGTTTTGAGAAAAATATCACATATTTTTTCAAAAAATCCATCTTGCAGGGATAGGGAAAACATTTTTATGGATATTTTTTATTTATTATGCTAGACACGATTCGATGCACCTCACCAAGGTAATTCCAAATATGACCTATGGATAAAAGTGTTAAGAAAAATACATTTTAACGAAGAAACCTAGGGTGTTTTGGAAAACTTACTGTATAATCCAGAAATATATATGCTATCTACATTAGTGTAGGACAGATAGACAAACATGTGTGCAGATTTTGAACCAGTTTGAGGGTATAAACAAAAACGTTTATGCCGTTAAATAGAGCACCTATCAAAGTATATTTTCGTCTTATTGAATTCGGAGAAAATACAATAAAATATAATAAAAAGAAAATACTTGAATTTTTGGCCTACGGTTCCGACGCCTGTGATTGCAACGTATATATATAAATTGTGTGTGTATTCTTTTAGATTTTTTAAATACTATCGTAATTCTCATCAATTCTAGTTTTCGGTTGAAAACTTTTAGTTTTATTGAACTCTTTTAATAAAGAACTCACATGCGGCTAAGATCGGCAAGATGTAGTATGTGCTTTACGACTTTAGCTTTCTAGATACCTCAAATAAGCTTCGTGATTTGCTGATTGTTTCTTAATTCTTTTTGAAAAAAAACAACACTTTAAAGAAAAAAGTAAATTTCTTACTCTAACATTGATAATATGGCGATCGGATATGGTACTTGTAGTTTTGAGATACATTGGTAATAGCACCAAGGAAGAGAAGACATTCTAAACAGAATTGTACAGTACAAGACTGTCAGCTATTCTTATTTTACTATCCATTTATGTTAACGCTTTGCGTAGCTGAACTTCAATATAAAAAATACAGCATAGATTTTTTGTTGTATTATACTTTAGATATTTTATACAAATCTTTCCTGCATAGAGCATTATCAAATAAACCAAGCAGAAAATGTTGATTAATCTAAAATTAATTGTTTTCTTTTGCGGTAAAGTACTTTTCATCCTTTTTGATTTAATCGAAACGATTAAACATATACCTTTTTTTTAATTTTTAGGATTATTGTGTTTCGTTTTTATTTCATCAGTAAAAGTGAGAATTATGTTCAATTTATTTGTTTATTTTAAACTTCAATTCATTTTTTCTTTTTAAGTCGGACACATTTCCAGATAATTTTTCGTTACCAATCGAGTCACCCAATAAATGTTTTGTCGGACAGTTTAAATTTGATTTCGATGTCAAATATCCACTGAAAGATGGTGTATGTAGATATAAATATTTGTCGATTATGATTTTTAATTATGTTATTATCTCTTTTTTTGCTACTTAGACGTATAAAACGGTTAATTTCGTTGTGGATAATTCAACCTATATAAATTACAATGGCTCATGTTCCCAAATGGGCGACAATACAACTCATACATTGACAATATACATGGTGGCCAATTCCTGGTATATTGATTTGATTTTTAACTTAAATAAAAGTATAGCATCATTGCAACAAACTGCTGTTGCAATGGTTATTGATAATGCAACATTTCCTAATGTTGATACAACATTATTCGGTAAATAATTAACATTGAACTATCTTGAAGTTGTTTTTATAAAATAGATTTTTTATATTTTAGGAAACTATAAAGTTGAAAAAAATGTTTTATTATTTAAAGCTGATCAAGGCAACTCATTCCGTTGTAATTCCAAAACAATAGTCGTTTTTGATACGCAAAAGAATATCACTGTCACATTAGATATGCACGATGTTCATGTACAAGCATTTTATGACAATTCACAACCATTTACGGGTTATGGTGTTGGTAAATATATCGATTTGAGAACTAGCTATTTACAGGGAATTTTTCTCTAAGATATTATTCAACGTTAGATTACATCATTTCTTTACTTAGCAAGATATTTTCCAAATTCTTCAGGTCACATTAAACAAGAATATAAGATTTTTGACTGTTTTAATAGATAATGTGAAATGCAGTCTATTAATCATCTTTTTTTTTTCTTCTTAGAAATCGTTTGTGCAGATGATATGAAGAAAGATTCAAATTTGATTCCAATTGTTGTTGGCATTTGTTTGGCTGTACTTGTTGTTATCGTACTCGTTGCATATTTAATTGGTAGAAGAAGGTGTCGTAACGTAAGTGTTTAATGCTAATCTGTAATTAGTTAATATATGTTATTTTTTGTTTTATTTCTATGTTAGGGTTATCAATCTGTTTAAAAAAGTTTTGTCCAACTGTGATTTCAATATATACATCTATACATTTATATATATATATATATATATTATTAAACTATTATTTTTTTCTTATTCAAAACGATTCATTCGTTCACTCTTTAGATAACACATCGTATTTTTACTTCATTAGTATTCAGAAATATCATAAACAATATCGCTTATCAGATACGATTTTTTGATTATAATATACTGACTTTTATTTATGCATTGCTTTGTTGTTGTTTTTTTGTTCTTCATATTTTCTACATTTTTCAACAATTTGTTTTCATATTGTCTTTTTGTAAAGTTTTGCATTTATAATCAAAAGATAGTGGCTTTTTCAGGATTATAGAGTCTAAATATATTTTAATTTATGAGAAAGAAAAACATATCGTAAACAAAGTCATTCTAGGTATTTGTCTCAGGCATATATATTTTTGAGTTATTGCACAACATCAATCATTGTGTAGAATATAGGAAAGAATAGCGAAGTTAATTTTTGTAGTTCGTCTACAAAGATCAAAGTTTGTATATTCGATCCTAGCTTCATCTAAGGATTAAGTATTGTTGTATTTTGATAGTTTAAATTTAAGAATGATATAATAGGAATTTATATTCTTGGATTTCATTCAAGGTTAAAGCTTAAATTAACCAATTTTTTGAGTGATAAAACAATCATCGTTAGACTCGTTGTGAAGGTTATTTTTTGGTTAAGGTAACGATGCGAAAGATATATTTTGTTACTCATTAATTATCATTGTAATAGTTTCTTTTTTTTTCTTTCCTTTCTAAATATGTACAAACTTATTTTTTCACATTTTTTTGTCTTGTTCATAATCATATGAAATATGTCATCCATTTATCTATAGAACTGTCCTTTGTTTTCTAAATATACGTGAATCAACAACAATTATATTTTCTTCCAACGTAATTATTTGTTAGTTTGTGGCATGTCAGGTGCTTTTTTACAATAAAGGATGCAATCTGATGTCTAAAAAGTATAC